CTGGTTAAAAACAATTTTAATCAACTCACCTATTGATTAACTATTAATATATTTAAGTTAAAGTTGTTAAGATAATAAGATTAACTTTTTGATTTGAAATTAGGTTTAATATTATAATCAAGGTAATAATAATGAATATACAATTAACAAGATTAACTCAATGGTTATTCAAGTAAATTGAAATTAAATATTGGTCAATGATAAGCCAATATATTGATTGTTACCTTGAATTTGATTGAACAATCAGAGTTGATAGGCTTGTAATCATGAAGAGGATGCTGGTTGATTTGAATTGAATTAAATTTAAATATCAAATGATTAGACCACTAGAAGGTTATCAGAGATGAGAGAATGATGATAAGGATGAAGAGGAATGAGTATAATGGTAGAGATGAGAAAGGGAGAGAGAGGGAGAGGGAGAGAGTAAGTGAATGAGTGAGAAAGAAACTATGAATGGAGAGAGAAAGAAAAGAAGAAGAAAAAATCGGAAATTCTTAAATTCTGATGATAGATTGATGATGCGGGAAACTGAACATTCCTTCATGACCATACATGATTACACGGTGGGTGGAAAAAATATTTAACCACCACCACCACAAGATGATCATGTACACCCTGTAAATTTGCTTATTCTTTGGAATTGTTTTGCTTTTCTATCACAATTCCGATCTTTCAATATATTCAGAGAGAGAGAGAGATTGACATGAGAGATTTACCTGTAATTGGAATTAATGTTTTCACGGTTAATTTTTTTTCTTCTTCTTTTCTTTTTATCCACTCGATGGAATCAACAATTTCCACCTTAATCATTTGCTAATTCATCATTTTCCCCATGTAAATCTCATCAATCAGACTTTTTTAATTTTGTCATCATCCTTATCTTCATCTCTCTCTCTCTCTCTCTCTTTTCACCCAAATAACATGTAAATTGATTATCATTAGTTAATAGTTTCTGTAGGTAAATTAATCTCATTAGAAAGATGATAAATTATATTCAAATTATCATTATCTTTCAAGGAGTTGAAGATAAAGTATGAGGATGATAAAAGTTATTAAATTATCTTTTATCAAATGAATGACTATTAATTAAATATCATCATTATCCTCATCACCTTGACTACCATTGGAATACAATGTAGATCAAAAGTGAGGGGAAAAAATTTTCTCTCGAAAAAAAAGTTCTTTTTTTATCTTTTCTCCTCATCTTCCACTTGCATCAAGATGATGACGATCAAGATGATGGAGATAACTAATGTTGATGATGAGGAAGACAAAAAACTTCTTGACTTATGTGAATAAGCTATGGAAAGATAATAATGATTAGTTAACTAACTGACCATTAAAAAGATTACATGAGATTTGATTCCAGTGGGAGGGTTAAGAAGGGGGAGGATTGGAGGTTCCAAGTGATGAGGATGAAGATGAAGATGAAGATGAAGATGAAGATGAAGATGATAAGGATGAGAAATTAAATTGAATATAATCTTATCCTCTCAATGAAGTAAATCCTAAATTATGTTCAATTACCACAAACAGAGAGATGAACTTTAATTATATTAGACAATTTAAGTTAATCAGTTGAAAACCTGTAACTTGATTTACTGATTGTCATTGTTTACCAACAACAATTTACAAATCACTGTGATTCTGGATGCGGATGGTTAACAATTTTAATTGCTAATTCTGTAAATATATGTGTTGATTAACTTTCATTCAGTTACAATTTAATTCAATTTAAACTAATTATTAGATGATGTTGAGTTTTGTTTCCTACTTCCAACTAAATTAAATTAAATTACTTTCTCTTCACCTTTTTTGGCTTTAAATTAGTTGCATGTTTAATTTAATTACTTGATTAACTATTGGTTGAACAATTGAAATTTTCTTGAAAGTCACTTTGTCTTTGATTGTTAACTGATCATCTTCACAATCAAGGTTACAATTAGTTAATTATGTTTTATAAGTTTCTCTTGGTTTAATAAAAGTAAAACTGGTTAATCAACTTGGTAAACAATTTAAAATCATAAATTGTAATAATTAAAGGATTAAAACCATATTTTACAATTTACTTAATTCCTGGTTAATTTATTGTTACCAGTTGATTGTTCAATAATTTATGATTTTTTAATCATTTTAATCAAGATTTACGATAATTGTAGTTTCCTATGGTTCTGATCAACTCAATGGTAAAACTTTTTCCAACTAATCAACTAATCAACTAATCAAAATTTGATTTTTTCATTTCTCTCCCTTGTATATATTAGTTAATTGTCAAAGTTAATTGACAACCGTTGATGATTAGTAAATTATGACTTAAAGTGATCAATTTTTTAATCATAAAAAACAATAACAATGGGAAATAATTGTTAACTTGATTAGACGAAACAAAAATGATTAACTTGATTGTTGAAAGTGGCAAATAAATGAATTGGTTTCAGTTAAATTGTAAGATGCAATTGAAAGTTAATCAAGTTAAACAATTAAGTGAACAATTTAAATCTCTCTGGGTTGGTTTAAACACGGCTCCAGTTTTTGTTTAACAACAATCAAAGTTAATCATCACAAAAGTAATCATGTTAATTAGTATTAAAGTTAATGAGAAAAGTTTTCCATCTAATTTAATTTAATAATTGAAACAATTAATAAAAAATGAATTTACACAAATAATTTGATTAAATTGCTATAATTAACCAATGTTAAACTAGTACAATCAACATGACTTAATTGTAAATTAAATTATGAACCGAAAATCAAATGAAAATAAACAATGTCATCACAATTAAATCCATTAAATTTAAATTAATTGAGGTAACACAATTAAAATCACAATAATCAAATTTGATCATAACTTTTAATACTAAAAATTATCATGATTTGATCGTGATCTAAATTATTACAATCAAGAATCAAATTAGCAGCACAAACAAAAAATTAAATTAAAACTCAAAGTAAATTATAATTAAACCAAATCAACTCGGACAAAAACAACAACAACAACAACAACAATCAAGGTAATCAAAGTAAATTGCAAATTAAAACAATTAACTAAAAATCATGTTCACAACCCACCAAGTAACCCGATCAACTTGACAATATTTGATTATAAACAATTAGTTAATCACCCGAAAAAAAATTGGGTTACTAACATAAACAAACATCAACCAGATGAAAACAAATTGACCTGAAGCAAGATGATAAAGTCTAGATAATAAAAGGATAACTAGATCATCATCCTCATCCTCATCTCCATCTCCATCTCCATCTCCATCCTCATCTTCATCCTCATCTTCATCCTCATCTTCATCCTCATCTTCATCCTCATCTTCATCATCGCGAATAACTTTTGTGATAACTTTTTTTTTCTAGAAAGAAAAAAAATTGACAATAAAAAGTCATTAAGAATACCACTAATACCATTTACCTTTGCAAACTACAAATGCAAATGAATCATCATCATCATCATCATCCTCATCCTCATCTTCATCATTATCAACAAATTACAAGCCGCTGCAAATAACAACAACAATAATACATGATAATAAATGAAAAAAATACCTTTCATTTACCTTCGGGTAATAACATATCCCTTAAAGCGTTAATTGAAATGATCTGTTAAACAGGTTTAAACATATTAGTCTCTCTCTCTCACTTACCTTTGGTGTTTTTACCTGAGCATTTTGTTTACCTGGATAACTTTTTACTTTTAAAACTCAACTGACAATCAACTCTAATGAATTAACTGATTGTCTGTTGATGATGATTAACATTTATCACTTGTAATATAAACTTTGAATGTTATTATTATTTTCTTATCCATGTTGATTATTAGCTAAACTTAAGGTTAATTAGTTTTAATTGTGTGACCTTACGATGACACTTTCACAATTAAATTAGTTTGCACCTTCATCTCTTTAATTATCCGCAAGGGTTTAGTATTAGTTACGCATTCACATTTAAACTGTTACAAGTGATTTAAATTGTTTCTTACCAGTTAGTTGATTAACTCAAGCAAAATCAATTAGCTACACAATATATTTAATTAGTTATCATTATTATTTTTTATTACATACAATTTGTTTATTAATTGTTTTAAATTGTTGATACACTTTTTTTTAGTTGTTTCTTTTGGCAACAGCAGCCAAATTTCAAGAATCAAGGTTAATTAATCAAGTTTGATTATGTTTAACGCGATTCCTGTTGATTGTAACAGTTAAATGTGTAAAATTTATCAAGATTAATTGATTACGTTGTTGTATATTTAAACCAATTTACAATCATTATCAACAATCACAATCAACAATCATGATTTTAAATGTTAATCTTGCTGCTGAATTTGTTTATAAAACGTGCTCAAGGTAAGTTCAAGGTGAGACTAATACTAGATGATGATAAGAAATAACTTTCATCTTCATCATCATCATTATCATCATCAATGGATGCTAAAGATCCGGTTTAATTAACTATCATGATGATAATGTTATAAACATGAGGAAACAAATTAGTTTGTCGTGGTTAATATTATCACTATTGTTTTACTTGTGTTGGTGTTTTAATCATTGAGAATTAACTAAATTTACTAAAATTAGGACACACGAAGATAATCATCTTAATCATCATCATCATCATCATCAACTAATTACAATGATACAACAACAACAACAACAACAACAACAATTTAATAATGATCAACATGATCAGGTAACAACAACAAATTGTGATATTTTCGTGATGATATTAAATCAAATGCTAATTAACACCAATAACAAATTTCTCGCAATTTAATTTTCACAACCAGTTAATTTATTTTATTAGGTCAAATCAGAACTAGTTAATCAATTGTTTGTCTCTCAATTTATTTCGGATAAATTTAATCATCTCACTATCATAATCTAATATACAATTAAGCTTCTGATTGTTACTAATATTAATCAAGTAACAATTTTTTTTTTCTTAATCATCTTCATCTTAATCATCATATACATACATAAGAGATTAACGATTCATTACCATAAATAATGTTAATCAACTAATCGTGATGATATAAAATTTATATTTTATTTAGGAAAGGAAAAAATTTACAAATTAAAAATCTATTAGCACAATTTACAAATTGACCAACAATCAACGTCAATAATTATGACCTAAATCATTATGAATGAAGAAACATTTAAATCATCAAATTTAAATTGCTATCAATATGGACAATTAAAACTGAGAAAAAGTTAATTCCAAAAGTTAAATCACATTTGCTAATCCATTTTGATAACCATACGAAAAGCCCAATGGTAGCTCTTAATTGTGAACAATCAACTAATCACTTTAATACAAATATCACGAGATTGGAGTTTATTGTTTACTAAATCATCTTGAATACTAATAAATGTTAATCTCTTTGTCTTCCTTGTCTCTCTCTCTCTCTCTCTCTCTCTCTCTCTCTCTCTCTCTAATCCAAAGGAGTTTTTTTCTTCTTACCTTTTATCATCCTTTTTATCATCTCTATGGTGTGTTAATCCACCATCAATATTGAAAAGCATTAAAAGTTTATCCTTTAATCCGGTTTAATGTATAAGCGCAACAACAGAAAAAAAATCATAAGAAATAATTTAAATCCTTTGTAAATTAGTTCCAGATTGTTTCTCATTTTCTTGATTATCTATCAAGATTAAAGTTGATTATGATTTGGATTGATGATTAACTATCAATTGTTATATACAAGATGATAATCAAATGTAAATTGTTGTAAAACAATCAACTTCATGAATGGATTTAAATTGTTGTTCAACTATTTTATTGGCCAAAACTTGTCAAGGATTTTATTACAATTTGTTAATTTAAATTGTTCTTATCCTCTCTAATCATTGTTTAAATTGTATAATCAGTATGGTGATTAAAATTGTTTCAATTGCGTGTCACCAATTTAAATCCTTAATCAATAAACTGGCCTGATTGTTAAAACCATAATCCAAGACAATCAATTGATTGGTAATCTATTGAAATAGTTGGTATGTAATTTAGTTTAATTATGTTAACGTATTTCGGTGATCAGTTAATTGTTTGTCTATGTTGATGAGATATTGTTATTGTTAATGGTTATGTAACCAGGAAAATAAAAACCAGGAAATCAAATTAATCTGGTTAAATTGTTCACAATTTAGCTAAATTATCATATGGTAACAAGAATCTTGAATCGAGAGAGTATAAAGTTGATCATCAATGATAAATGGATGAGGATGAGGATGAAGATGATGAGGATGATGATGATCTTGTTGTATTTTTCATCTTCTTATGTCATTTAAAAACAAGGAAGATAAAGTTTCATCTTGAATTAGGATTGTTGTTGTTGTGTGTCATCATTATCATCATTGTTATCTTAAGCTTATCATCCAAATGATGATATAAGATGATGAAATTTGCTGGAGAAAATAAAAATAAGGCTTGAAGAATAATCTGAATTTTCAGAATCACAATCTAATTGAGTCATAAGGGGATGAATGAAGATAAGATGAAGATAAACAAAGAATCAGAAAGTAAGACTTTCTCATCATCATCTTATTCTTTCTCATTATCATCCTATCATCTTCATGATAAATCTATTAGGAATCAACTAATTCCTTCTTAGAACAAAAAAGAGAAAAATCTTTCAACAAAATAAGATTTTCATCGAGTTGGAACAAAGAAAAAAGTTCTAATATTCGAAACTTTTTCTTTTTACCTTCCAAAGTTTTCTCTCTCTCTCTCTCATCATCATTATCATCATCATCATCATTATTATTTTCATATAGAAAGCATTCAATTTTGAGAGAGAATCGAGAAAAAAAGTTATGATCGAGCTTTTTTCCTTTTCGAATTGAAACTTTTCCATTAATCAAAACAAAAGAAAAACCTGAAAAAGACCAGAACTTTTTTCCTTTCTTTCATCATGATATCATGAAATATCAAATTATTAATAATATCACTGAGATAATGATTTATTAACTATAAATTGTTATCATTTACTATCAATAACAGTTCAATATAATAGTTGATAAATATATTACATTGAGAGACATTTAATAGTGTTAATATGATAAAGTGTTATATTGTTGATCATTATTATAATCATCAAATTTCATGATGATTAACATGATGATTGTAACAATTGAACAACAATAACAATGACGGAATTAATATTTCATCCAAATGGTGATTGCAATATCCAATTGAATCACAATTATTATCAGAGAGAGAGAGAGAGAGAGAGAGAGAGAGAAAAGGAGTAATGTTAATTATCACCATTGATTTGAATCATTCACCTTTGCAATTAAAGTTGCTTGCAATGTAGTTAATTGTAGTTACAAATTTGCATTCAAACAATTAATTCTCAACCAGAATGCAAATGATTGTAATAATAATATAAATGATATAAAACCATTTGCAATCAGTGATATTTTTTTTATTTTGCTCCTTGTTGCCTCTCAGATGATGATGATGATGAGGATGATGCAGATGAGAGGATGAGGATGATGAGGAGAAAAAGGTTCAAAGGCATGTAAAAAATAAATGAACTGTAACATCAATTAGAGATGATGAAGCAAATTGCCCGCCGGGTAACTTTTCAATTCGAACTTTTTTTTTCTCTCTTTCTATTTCTATTCATCATTATTATTATATCATTTTAATATATTTTTTTTTCCTCTGTAATTTTATCTCATTATCATCATGATGATGCATATGAAACTGCTGGTTAAGGTGGGATTTCAAATTCACCAGTGGATTCAACACCAACTCCACCCAACAGAAATAGACAAGGTTCAATCATGGATCATAATTGTGTTGCCATTATTTGAATAAATATGAATTTCGGTTAACTAATTGCAATTAAGTTTGATTATCCTTGCAAAGGATAATATTTTTTACACACAAACACAATCAACAATTTAATTTGTGTGACAATTAAAACCTCACAGATCAATTGAAAGAGAAACTTGAAAATATTAGTTACAAGTTGATTATCTTGTATAATATTAACATTGAAATTGATTAAATCTTTAATTGTCTATTAGAGGTTCTTGTTTTAATTATCATACGAATCATAAGAATTTAATTGTGGTGTAAAAAGAAATCAGGAGAAACCCCTAAGGCAAAATTGTATTGATATGTAAGTAGATGATTGTTGATGATTAAACTGTAATAATAAGCAAATTTTGATCATTTTTTTCTGCTTCACAATTGACTGATCAGAACCAAGTTGGTTTACCTTAAATCATTTGAGAAAGTGATTATTGTTAAGGTTTCATAATCTTATCGTTTATTATAACAATTGTATTAAGATGGTGTTGTGATTATCTATTCAAATACATGGGAGTGGGAGAAAGTGGGAGTGGGTGTTGGGTGGTGGTGGTGGAAAGTAATCTGTTGAATGAACCATGAGATTGATGCAATAGAAATGAAACAATAAAGAAGAAAAAAATTCTCGAATCAATATTATCTCCGATGAAGAAAAAAAACCGAAAAAAAGTTCTAATGTAATTGATTAGCATCTTTAATGGTTTGATGATGGAAGACAAAAGGCTCAGATAAGTTCTAATGCTTCCTCATCATCCTCATCATCCTCATCTTTGTTTTCACCTTTTTTTTGTCTCTTGTTCAGTGAAGGGTAAATGTTCATAAGGTGAATCGATTTCATCTCAAGTGTATTTGTCATTCAACAAGTTCATCATCAGGATGAGATGGAAAGGATTTCATCTCTCTCTCTCTCTCTCTCTCTCTCTCTCTCTCTCTCTCTCTCTCTCTCTCTCTCTCTCTCTCTTCCTTGGATGATGTGAGCTCATAAGGATGATAAGTGATCGTGATCAGAAAGACCAAATCGATCATTTTTCTGGTTGAAATATCTTCCCATGGATGATGATCATGTTGATGATTATCATCAACTGAACAAAGTTTCACTTTTACAAATCATTGAAGCAGAATTGTTAACAATATAATTATATTACTAAATTGTTTATAATCATATTATCATTAGAAATTAACAATTTTTCTGTAAATTGTTTGTATACCCAACAGTTTTTTTTTACTATCACAATGCAATCAGTTAATTGTTTGGGTTGTGATTTCAATCAGTTAATAATCATTGTTGATCCTCTGGTTTTTGTTTTATGTTTTGTGTGTAAATTTCAATGCTAACAAATCAATTGATTGTTGTACCATTAACACTAATAATTAACTTTAGGTTTTAATTACAGTAAATTGAACTTACCTTCATTAGTGTGAAAATCAATGTGTATTGATGATAAATTGTTGTGAGATAAGTTAATTGTTAGTTAATTGCTAACTCATTTTCAGTCAATAGTTTTGTTTCAATTGTGATCTCAGAAATTGAGTTTATTGTCAAAATTTGATTGTTTTTTTTTTTATATATTAAATTTGATGTCAAAATTTTCATCAGTTAATTGTGAGATTTAATTTTCCTGTTTATTATTTACAAGAAAATTTATTATTAAAATAATTGATTGTTAATTGTTTGATTTGTTGACCTTTCCTTTTGTAAACAAATTGACCAACTTTTTCACTCACATAACAAAACATATTAACTGAAATGTTGTTTTCCCTTGATTGTTGTAAGTTAATTGTTGAATAACATTCGGGACCATTAACTGATTGTTCAAATATCTAAAAACAACAACAAACTCAACTACAATTTAGTTAATTGTAAATAACAATCAACCAACAATCAAAGTGAAAAGTTATCAGCAACTTGTCAAGATAAACTGAGAAAAAATCAACTTGACTTGAATTAAGAAACATTGAAACATCAGATACTCGGACACACCTAAGTTTGATCATTGATCAGCAAATACCATTAAAATCATAATCATCTTCATCTTCATCTTCATCTTCATCATCATTATTATTATCATGAAAATCAGGAATCAAATTACATTTTAAATTCATTGGTAAAGTTGATTAATCTAATCTTGAAATCGTTTCCCTTTGGTCAATGTTTATATTGTTTCCTGTTAAACTGTGTCTTTACCCAACAGTTAACTACACGAACAATTAACTAATTGCTGAAAGTGATTCTAATTAAAGGTAATATATTGTAGTTCTGACCAATGTCCAGTAAGGTTGGTAAGAAAATGATTTCAATCAAATGATTAATTGATTGATTGACAATTGAATTTGAAATTTCATCTTCATCTATTAACTTTTCCAATCAATTTAAAAGGTAAAAAAGTTTTCTGATTGTTTAATGGTAATGATTTAATTTTAATCCTTAATTGTTTGTGGCTCTTTGATTGTAGTTGATTTAACCTTGATTTGTAATTTAATCATTTTCCAGATTAAAACAAGTTTCAAGAATCAATCTCTTGATTACTTATGATTTGACCTAATTTCAATTACAACTAATAATTAGTTACCTTAAGAAGCGAAAAAAAAATTAATTCAATTGTAAAATTAGTTAAATCAAATTTAATCACTTTCTTAAATCTACAATCAGACAGTTAATTCATTACAATCAAGAGAGAGAGAGAGAAAAAATCTAAATTAATTGTCGGTATTAATTTTTTTTCTCTCCCTATCCTTGTAACACAATTAACCAAAACAATTTATTAATCACTCAAACTTGGTAACAATTAGAAAAGTAGAAAGGCAAAAATTTAAACAATGATTTAAATTTGAAATTTAATTTAATTTAATTCAATGTTGGTTGATTGGTAGTAGCATGAAAATTAAATAAATCATATAAGGTAATTGTTAATTCAAATTCAGGAACAACAACAACAAGAACAACAATTAATAAAAGAAGACAATTAACTAAACAATTAATCAAACCAGTAAATGATTAACAAAACAAAGGGAAAAACTTTTTCCTGGTTAAATATGATAGTTAAATACATGAGTGATTAACTAATCAAGTTTTCATTGAAGGATAACAATCAAATATTTAATGGCAACAATTAAATACAAATATCAACTTAAGTTACAGGAAAACAAAATCAAAGTTCAAATTGAAAAGTTATAATCAATGGTCAGTTTAATGGTCAAAATAAGTGAATTAACTTTTCAATCTTGATATTGATCAAAATGGAAGATGGAAACATTATCATCCTCATCTTCATCTTCATCTTTATCTTCATCATATCTCATCAATGTCTCTCTTTTTTAAAGCTTTTAAAAGCATCACTTTGAAACTTTTCCTCCTCATCATGAAATCATCTTCATCTTCATCTTTGAAAAGCTTTTCCAACAATCAATTTGTGTAAATTTAACATTCAACAACATTAACACAAGATGATGAAGATGAGGATGAGGATGAGGATGATAATGATGATCACATTGAGTAATATAAATAAACAGAGATGAAGATAAATAAACAGAGAAAGTTAATTAAAATTGATTATGAAAAGTTGTAAGTAAGATGATAAGGATGATGATAAAACGAAAGAGGTTTTCATCATCTTAATAGCTGATCATCAGTAATTAGCAATAATCATCTTCTTAATCATCCTCATCATCATCCTCATCATCATCCTCATCATCATCATTATACTTACTTGACCATCGCCACCACTTAAGCTTATTTACTGATTGACCAGATTTTCACCTTGACCAATTACACTTATTTGTCCCCCCCTTTTTTGTCTTCCATGTTTATCATCTTTATCTTCATCTAGGAGACACTTAATGTTATTGAACAGATAATTATCATCATATATTTGTCTTCATTATCATCCACTGATCATCATTATCATCCCAAAGAGTCACACCTTTGAAATAATAATAATAACAAAACAAACATGATCAACATTGAACACACACCTTAAAGTTTTTTATCATTGATTATCTAACATTTCAATTGATTAGTGAATTAATTGTGATTACAATTGTTAATTGTTTACAATTGTAAATGTCTGAAAGAGGGAAGGGGGTATAGGTGATAAATTGCTGACACAATTAATCAATGATGATTTAATTTATCAATTGTTTTCTAAGTTAAACTTTTTCCAACTTTTTTAACAATTGAAACTTTTTTTTTACCTTGATTGTTGTTCATTGTTAATTTAGTCAATTTTTTCAACTCCCACCATGATGATGATGATGATTATGATGATTATTATTGTTATATATTTATTTATTTATCTCACGAATGGTAAATAATGATAACGGTAAAAATAAATTCAATTTAAATGTTCAACTGTTGATTTGAATCATGAATTTATGTTCATCACAATTGTGTTAACTTGTGAATCTGATTCTGGTTTAAATTGATTATATTTACCTTTTTGATTTGAATTAACGTTTTTTTTTTGTATATTTTTATGATGGAAAACAATTTAAATTAATTGTAACATTATCTGTATCATTTATTTGTCTTTCCTTTATCATCCTAACGGTAAATAATGGTGATGATGATCAACTCACATCACTTTGGATAATAATAGTTTTATATGTGGGACTCAATGAATATCATTGATCTCTTATCAATAGATTCATGATGAGGATGCTGGTAATCATCATGAAGATAATGATGATTATTATTTTCTACATTCAGCGAATTTCATCTCGTGATGAAAAGAAAGAAAGAAAGAAAGAAAGAGAAATGAAAGAGAAGGAATTTTTTTCGCTTCTTTCCAAAGGTAGAACAAAAAAAGATCCAATTTCATTGCGAATCAATTGGTTACATCATCATAAAGATGAGGGCAAAAGAGAGATGATGATGAAGGGAAACATAGAGTGATGACCATTTATTACCTTGATATTTGCTCAGGTAACAGAAGTAAAGTCCAGTGTCCATCGAGAAGTAAAAAGGAAAACAAACCGAGAGAAACAAATCTCAACTTCTTGTGATGACAAATATTTATCTAAATAAAATAGTCTCTTTCTCTGTATCTTCATCCTCGACCTCACCTTTTATCCTCATCAGTTTATTTTTTATCATCTTTTCCTCTTTAAGTCTCTTGAGAATTAAATTTAAGAGGGAAACCATTGGAATCGCCACTTGGTAATATACTGTTAGCATCCTCATCCTTCATCTTCAGCAGCAACAGCAAATAAAATGAAATAATAATGTATATAAATGAAAGAGAGTGAGATGAAAAAAAAAAGCTCAAACTAATACTTATGATGAGGATGAAGATAAAGATGAAGACAGGGATGAGAATGATAATGATAATTTACCAAATTGCTTAACCCCAAGATGCAATTACTATTTAATTCGTCACACGTATCACAATCAATTCTCAATCTAAACTACTCACTCCCACCCCTCACTCACTCTAACTCTGTCTCTCTCTCTCTCTCAGGGATAGATTATATTGCCCAAGGCGATAACCGAGGTTTCCGCTGTTAATTTTACTCTCTCCCTCGTCTCCAACCCCTTTTCACCTTTCTCTCTCTCTCTCTCTCTCTCTCTCTCTCTCTTTCTCCTCCAAGTTATCTCTCCATCCTCATCTTTTATCCCCATTAAAATACACAAACATAAACTCAATCGACAACAAGACATTACCTTTTTTTCATTATCCCTTTTCCCCATCACTACTCATCCTCTACTCAGTCACCAAACTATCATAATCATAATCACAATCATAATCATTCTTGATTAACCTCAGGTAATAATAACAATTTAAACTTCAATAAAAAACTAATCAAAGTACAAGAAGCAAACAAAAAATGATAACAAACTTGAAAATGGCTGAAAAAACATCCATAGACTTTGATTATTATCCAGTTCATCATCTTCACATACAATTTCATCCCTAAATTCATCCTGAAGCTGAGAGAGTGAGAGAGAGAGAGAGAAAGAGAGAAAGAGAGAGAGAGAGATGAAGATGACCAAGATGGCCACCAAGAGATATATACTAATCATTGGTGATAATAATAATCACCATTGCGTTTAAATACTTGTCCATTTAACTTGTTATTTCATCTTCATATCTTTTAAATTATCACTCAAACTGAAAATAAAATAGCCTCAGGACATTGTGTATATTGATGTTGTTCAAATGTTTATATCATCGTCATCATCATCATCATCTCAAGATTATCATCTTAAGCTTAAGCTTTTTTTTGACTTTATCCATTGGACATAATTAAATGTTTACTTTTATTTATTTTTTTTTTGATAGCAATCACCTGATGTCCATTCAGATTTTACTTTGGGTCCATTTTTGTTACCCAATTGATTAATTGAAGCGATTGTATCTCTAATTGTAACTTTATAAGTTTGTAAATTGTTTCTACTTTAATGATGACCGTAAATCTATCATAATCACTAGACAATTAACACTAATTGTATATATAAGAAATTAAATTGTTCAATTAAACTTTTCTTTTCCTCTCTTAATTGTTTTCCATTCTCACCTTGAGTGTTACTAATAACTCATTATTCAGTTGGAAATCAATCAAATTGAATTAACAATTTCTTTTTGAACAATTTAATTGCCAAAGGTACATTGTCTCTCTCTAGTTAATTAACCATTTGACATTGATTACAATCAATGGATAAATTGTCTAATGTTGATTATCAACATTCATCATTTTGTTACTTTTGTTTTTCTGATGTTTTCACAATTGTTACAAATCGTACGATGGTTTTTACGTTTGAGAAAAAAAAGAAACAAATTTAACGTTGATTGTAATCACTTCTAACCAATTAATAAATTGTTACGATATAAAGTGAAAAAAAGTAACATCATTAACAGTTTAAAGTGAAATAATCACGTGACAATTAAGATAATAATCAATAATATTATAACCTAAGGTGAAAATTACAATTAGCCTGACGGATTGACCAGCCCGATGGGAGGGTCACTTTGTTTTTGGAAATGATGAAGATAAAGATGAGTGAGAGAGGCACACACAAGCAAATTGATGATGAAGATGAAGATGAAGATGAAGATGAGGATGAGGATGAGAAAGACAAAGATGATGCAAGTGGGGAGAGAGAGAGGTTGAGATAAAGGTAGATAATTATTCCTGAGGCTATTTCTCAGTCTCTCTCTCTCTCTCATCAATGTCCACTTTTTGATTATCTCTCTGATACTCATGGTGAGGTCTTGGTGAAATTTTTTCCTCAAATTGATAATCCAACAATTAACTCTAATTGTTGTACTTAAATTTTTGTTAAAATTAGACTCTGATTGTTTCCCGATTGCTGTTGTTGATTACATGAATTCAGTAAGTCACGATGTATTAACTACAGTTTATTAAATTGATTATTGATGT